ACTTGTAAAATTCCCCCATAATTTTGCGAATCACCCAGACTTGGGAATGATTCGACAAATCCATGGAATGGCACTATTTGTCTTAATCTTAAAAAGAGTTTTGCTTCTTCAAAAACAATTAGGAGGTATGAAGTTTTAATTGTTACTCAGTTTAATTATAGGGCAAATCACTGACAACAGTGAGGAAATTTTAAAAAGGAACTGATTATTAAGGTGATTTATAGTAAGTGCCACCTGATGCAGAAGAGAGTAAGCTCATGTCCTCAGGAATCAGGGCTTCATAGTAGCTGCTTGAGTGAGAATTCCTGAGAGTGATAAAGTCTTTCCTTAGGGAAACAAGGGGGAAATAAGCGTTTTGAAGCAGGTCTGAAATTCTATTACCAAAGAGTATCATGAATTAATATTCTTACATTCCTATCACAGTGTACCTAGTCCCGCCGTTTTTGATTTCCAGGTTCTCTTTGGGCCTGGTGATCTAACTGTCTCTGTGGATGTCAGTGACACCTGTCCACCCCACACTGCTCCACCTGTTCTTCAGGGTCACATGTATGTTTAAGCACGTAGCTGACTTTCCTAGCAACCCATTTCCTTTGACGCCTCTTAGTTGACATCAAATCCCTCCAGGGTAAAGATTATGCCTTCAACTTTCTTAATAATGATTTACAGTGAGCATGTAAGTTTTGCTTATTTGTACAAATACTTTAATATTCTCACATCCTACTCATTCTATGAGGCCAGCATAACCCTGATACCAAAGCCAGAGACACTATAAGAAAACTCAAGCCCAGGATCTCTTACATTCATGCAAAAACCAACAAAACACTAACAAATCAAACTTAGCAGCATATTAAAAGGATTATACACCATAACCAAATGGGATTTACTCCCAGAATGCAAGGATGGTTCAATACATGAAAAGTAATCACTGTGATAAACTACACTAATAAAATGAAGTAACACCCCCCCACGTATGATCACCTCAATGGCACAGAAAAAGCATCTGATAAAATTTAACACACTCTCTTGATAAAAAACACTCAAATTACAATAGAGAGAAAACTTCAACATGATAAAGGCCATTTATAAATGGTGAAAGGGTGAGAGCTCTTCCTTTCAGATTAGAAACAAGGCAAGGATGTCTGATTTCACCACTTTTATTCAATAGTATTAGAAATTTTAGCCAGAGCAATTAGGCAAGAAAATAAGTAACAGTCATTCAAATTTGGAAAAGATGAAGTAAAACTATTTGCAAATGACATACTCTTATATATGCAGAATACCTCAGAGTCCACCAAAAACTGTTAGAATAAACAAATCCAGCAAAGTTGCAGGGTATAAAATCAATACATAAAATTCAGCTGCACTTCTATACACTAACAATGAATAATCCCCCCACCCCAAAATTAAGAAAGAATCCTACTGCATCAAAAAGAATACTTTGCAATAAATTTAACCAAGGTGGTGAAAGACTTGTTTGTATACTAAAAACTATAAAACATTGCTGAAAAAAAATTAAAGATGGCACAAATAAATGGAAAGACATCCTGTGTTTATGGACTGGAAAACTTAACATTGTTAAGATAACAATACTACTCAAAGTAATCTACAGATTCAAGGTACTCCCTATCAAAATTCCAACAGCAATTTTTGCATAAACTAATATCCCCTCCTAAAATTTATATGAAATCTTAGAGACTGTGAATAGTGCAAATAATCTTGAAATACAACAGCAAAGCTGTAGGCCTCACATTTCCTGATTTCAAAACTTCCTACAAAGATACGGTGATAAAAAGCAGTGTGGTACTAGCATAAGGACAGATATATTAACCAAGGGAATAAGACTAGAGTCCCAAAATAAACCCTTGCAAATACGGTCAATTGACTTTTGCCAAGCACACCAAGCATACTCAACAGGGATAAAACAGTCTTACATGTTGTGCTGGGAAAACTGGATATCCACACACAAAATAATGAAGTTGGACATTTACCTATACCACATACAAAAATTAACTCAAAATGGATCACAGACCTACATGTAAGAGCTACAACTACTAAAATATAAAACTTTTAGAAGAACTTATAGGAGTAGCTTCATAATACTAGATTTGGTGATGACTTCTTAGATATAACACCAAAGGCACAGGCAACAAGAGAAGGGAGGCTGAATTCTATCAAAATTAAAACCTTTGTGCATCAAAGGTTACTATCTATAATAAGAGAGTAAAAAGGCAACTCCCAGAATGGGAGAAAATATTTGCAAATCACGTATCTGAAACAGGATTAATATCTAGGATGTATCACTCAATAACAAAACAACCCAATTTTTAAAAATGAACAAAGAACTTAGACAATTCTACAAAAAAGATAGATGACCTATAAGCACATGAAAAGATGTTTAACATCACTAATCATCAGCATTACCACAATGAGAAATCACCTCACACCATTTGGGATGGCCACTACAAACCGTCTTCCCCTTAAACAGCAGCAGCAACAAAAACAGAAAATAGTAAGTGTTGAGAAGGATATACAGGAACTGGAACTCAGGTGCACTGCTGGTAGGAATGTAAAATGTTGCAGGTTTTGTAAAAAACACTATACAGTTACTGAAAAAGTTAAACAGATTTACCATGTGATCCAGAAATCCCTAGTATGCGAGGTCTATCCAGAAGGTATCTAGCCAAGTAATATGAAAAACAGAGACATTTACTGAAGAAGATACAAGACACAAGAAACATTATACACAGGACAATGACGCCTCAGACCCTTCAAAGTAGGCACCTTCGGACCTCACAGTTCTCCCAATTGCCATCAAGGGCCCTGGCGTATTTTCCTGAATCTCACTGATGGTCTGAAATCTCTTTCACCTTTCAAAGGTGATTTTAGTTTTGAGAAAAGCCAGAAGTCTCAGGGTGCCAAATCCGGGCTGTAGTGGGGCTGAGTCACCTGAGTGATTTGATGTTTTGCCAAGACACGATGCATGAGGTGCATTGTCATGATGAAGCTGCCAGTCACCAGTTGGCCAGAGCTGTGGCCTTCTGAATCTTCCAAATAGTTTCTGCAGAGGAATGTTCAAGCTTAATGCAAAATCTGATGTAGATTCGTTGCTCTACTTGCTCATTTTGAATGCAATGACCACATAGTACCCACGCTCACTCAACAGTGCATTGTTCATGCATGCACATTCCAGTCCACTCTCCTTGGCTGCTAGATGCAAACCATTCTCATTATATTAACAATGGCTGGAATTTTTTCTGGACAGAACTCGTATACCTAAAAAAACTGAAATAGGGACTCAGATACTTGTACAGCAACATGCATAACAGCATTACAATAGCCAAAAGATGGCTACAACCCAAATGTCCATGAAAAGATGGATAAGCAAAATGTGGCATATACATACAATGGAATATTATTGTCTTAAAAAGGAAACTGACACATGCTACAACACAAATTCACCTTGAAAACATGCTCAGTAAAATAAGCCAGACACAAAAGGACAAATATTGTATGATTCCATTTATATGCGGTACCTAGAGCAGTCAAGTTCATAAAGATAGAAAGTAGGAAAGAGGTAAGTGGAAGCTGGAGAGGTGGTGTGAGGAGTTATTATTTAATGGGTTCAGTTTCTGTTTGGGAAGACGAAAATTCTGGAAGTGGATAGTGGTGATATTTGCACATTGTGAATGTACTTAGTGTCAATTATACACTTAAAATGGTTAGAATGGTAAATTTTATGCTATGTGCTTTTTCCTCAATAAATAAAATCTTTTGATAATGACAGCTGTGGTTAGGACCTTGGCAATGAGGTCACACCTATATGAAACCTGACCTACCTTCCAGTTGAGTGACTTTGGAGAAATTGCCTGTATCCTCTGAAGAGCTTTAGTTTCCCCTTTTGTAAAATGAGGATATCACTACCTCACAGAGATTGTTGTCAAGATTAACATTAAAAAAGAGTAAAATGCCACAGATGAGGCCTATCACAGTATTAACTCCACAGTGACAAGTTGTTACTTTAGCAACTCTAGAGATTAAAATTAATGTAGTAGGCCCTGGCTGGTGTGGCTCGATGGATTGAGTGCTGGCCTGTGAACCAAAGGGTCACCAGTTCGATTCCTAGTCAGGGCACATGCCTGGGTTGTGGGCTGGGTCCCCAGTAGGGGGCATGCGAGAGGCAACCAACGGATGTTTCTCTCACACACAGATATTTCTTTCCCTTTTTCTCCCTCCTTCCCCTATCTCTAAAAATAAATGAAGTTTAAAAAAATAAGTAAAAATAAGGTAGTAGGCCATCATAAAAAACATAAATGAAGAGGTGGAAAGGCTTTAAAATACATGCACAGGCACTGGCAACAAGGGGATTTGTAAACAGGGTGGGGCAGTCTTGGCTTTTCAACAGTTCATGAAAACTCTCTTGAATATAGGTGATTTCGTTAACTCAAAGTTCAGTCTGAAGTGTGTGACACAGATGCTTAGAGAACAGAAAACGCAATCTAAGGTCCCCAATGGTGGTCTAGTTCACTGAGTATTGTGTTCATTCTGAGGACATTTCTTCACACACTCAGACAGACAGACAAGAGTGCTTCCAGAAGAGGATTCCCAAGAACTGTGAAAGGCGGATCATGTATAATGGCGGCATAAACAACTATTCAAGTGTCTCAGCAGTGGAGCGGGCTCCACGAGCTGAAGCACGGATCTTATAGGAGCAACTACCACACTGGAAGGGAAGAGGGGTGTGAGGGAAAGTGACTTCGAAGGCGTCTCCCCTCTAAGGTTCCATGATTCTAGATTTAAATGTTTAAACTTGGGCTTTTGGGAAATACAACGCTATTCCAAAAAGAAAAATACAGTATGGAATGCTGTTCTGGAAAAATCTCTTTGAATAACAACAGTAGTAACTTTTGAGCAACAGCAGTAAGACAATTTCTGAAGTGTGTACTTTTAATCTGCAAATGCACTTCAGGCAAAAAGGAAAAAACACACTTAAAACCCACAAGCACAAATAAACCAACTTTAATAGATATTATTTTATATTTATATAGCGCCTTCTTCAAGAACTTTAGATGCTTTACAGACATTACATCTAATTAATCCCCACAACAACCCTGTGAGGTAGGTATTACTCCCACTTTACAAGATAGGGAGACTGAAGCACAGAGAGGTTAAGTGACTTGCCAAAGGTCACACAGTTAAATTCACTGAAGAGCCAGGACCTGAGCGCCTTAGCCTCCCAGCTCCCAGTTAAATACCTCATGAAAGAATCTTTAATGAAAAGTATCTTTAAAGAAGTTATCAGGAGTAGTATGTTATGAAAATGAGGTCTTTCTACTGCCATCAAGGAGAGAAAAAACCCTATACTGATGGTTAGAGGCAACAAGACTCTATGTGACACTTTCCTTTTTTCCTTCCTGAAGTCACAAGGCTTCTGTCTTAAGTAATCTTCTAAAGGTGAGGCTGCCAAGACAGAAGCCATATGACTTTGAAGTGAGACTTAATTTAGAATATTTACTTTTAGTTATGGTCATTTATAGAAATTTTTATTCCAATATACAAAATATGGGATGGGCACCCCAATAATCATGTACACAGACAGCAAGCGGCCATCCTTTGCAACTGAAGCCCGCCCCTCATTTCAGCCACAGTCAGCTGAGAGACCATCTCACCACGCTGTCTACATGGGCCCTTTTTCTCACTCTATCTTCATTCCCCCCCAGTCTTAACCGTATATGTTTTTAAAGTATATTGAAGTTCTGATAAGCTTCCAAACATTTTACCTAGATGTAGCTGCACTAAGAATAAAAAGTAAATTGAGAACCATCACCCCACAGGCCCTCCCCTGACAAATCATACTATTAGATACGGTGTGGACGTGAACAGTGTGTGACTACCATGGAACTCAGTAAGAATGCTATCACTTGCTTTAATATGAAATTTAACCTTGGCTTTTACTGTGTTTTTACATGTACACTGTGAAAAACAAAACATAGTATCCCAACGCTGTACCTTTATGCAAATGACTTCATCTATCTTTCTTATACGTGCTGTGGCCTGACTCCTATGAAAACCAACTCAGCTTCACTTTCCTCTCCTTTTCTGTGCTGAAAGCCGCAGAAACAGAGCTTTACATTCCAAGACAGTTTGGTTAAGCCCTCAAAATAAGAAATGTACCCAGCTCCACCGCTATGACCTTCCCCACATCCTTGGTTGTGATTCTCTGTGCAATGTTGGTAAATCAGCCAGGCTATGTGATTTGTACAAAACAATTCCAGCCAGGATAAGGCTTGGGAAACTGTACCTTAAAAAGCAATCTGTCAAAATACATCATAATTTTCTTCTAGCACATCTGTTAAACAGCCCAATTAGCTAAGTGACCCTGTTAGAGATATGTTCATGGAACGAATAGGTGAAGTCATTTCCTGAGCTAAAAGATACAGGTAATAAATGTTAATAATAGCAGCAGACAAAAAGATTCTTTTTTTGTTGTTTTTTTTTTGTATTCAACAGTATTAGTAAAGTAAGTTTAGAAAATTACAGCAATTTAAAAAAGTTACTGCCAGAAAAGACTTGGATAAAGGCTATCCAAGGCCTGATTGCTATTATTTTGAATATATATCCAATTATTTTCTGCAAGTGACATTTGGCCACTGTCAGAGAACCTACTGTTACAAGGAAAAATGTCAACTGCAATAATTTACACACATTTTAATTACATACATTACTTCTTAAAACTCCCAAAAGAAGGAAGTCTTAACAAAGTTAATTTCTAAACATTCTTCCAGGAAGATCTGTAAAGGTAGAGAGGGAAAAGGATTTGTTTGTGTATTCCTGGTCTACTTCATTAAAAATTAATTTTCAAAAGGTTTGTTAGTGAACTACCCAGGCTGCTGGGGTTATGATGAATGATCCCTTCTTTCCAAGTTAAGAATGACACTGGAAAATAACCTAACTGCTGACACGAATCCTCCAGACATGACCTCAACTTGAAACATTAGAGTATTTAAGAATTCTAAAGACTGGTATACAACCACTGCACCAGAATGTTTCTTATCATTCCAACAACTACAGGAAATTTTTGACAGTTTCTTATTTTATTGAAATTAAAGCTGAATAAAATAACTGACTTATAAACTATAACAAAAGATAAATATTTTTAGCCAGAGATATCAGTTCCTCCTAAAAAAGAATATTTACCTCTTCTCATTGCAATTTTTCTTAAGGTATCTTACTAATTTAAAATAGAGTTTAAAATTCACTTTAAAATAGAAACAAACAAAAGGACTAGTTAAACTGACAAAAGCTAGTAAAAATATGCTAAAATTTACTGACAGAATCACGGGCACTTCATACAATACTTAGACTCTACCAGTTTTTAAGTAAAATAAATAAGGAAAAATTATAATTACAAAGCCAGTCTTTCCCCTTGGGGAAACAAAGAGCCACTTTTGACCAATTGTTCCCTACATATACATATACTGTATATTATTAAAAGCTTCTTCAGAGAAGCAAAACATATTTGTCTTCCTGACACTGGATTCTAATATCTATTTAGTTTTTTTTACATCAGGAAGGCAACTGCAAGTGTTGGGCCCAAAAGTATTTCTGGTTCACGCTTGAAAAGACCACCGAGTATTCTTTCTACACATACTCAACACAGGTACATTATGCAGTGTGTTCTCTATCATCTCCTTAAATTATCAATACAACCTAGCTCAGATTCCTATTCTTTCTACTGCACCCCAAGGAGTTCAAATCATTACTGGTACAATTAATAAAGAGAACATGCGTGTCAATTACCGGAAGGCTGTTTTACAGGAGGAGCTGCTATCTCTGACGTCACTTCCTCGTTGAATGGAACTGCACAGATAGCATGATACCTGAGCAAATAAATCAACTACCATGATCGGAAGAGCTTGTTAATCCACAGTCTTTGCTTTATTGTGTGCAAAGTGTGCTACCGCCCCCTGAGCTTCCTGCATTTCTCTTTCCTCAAAAAATCAGTGCTTGATCCTTTCCGCAATAACCAGAGAAGAAATGAGGCAGAAATCTCTTCATCACGGTTCCCACTCAGTCCCGAGACTGATAGAAAAGGATGTAACCAGACTCAGAGTTCTTTGAGATATCTGATGTCAACCCGTAGAATTCTTCAATAGCTTGTGCATCTATTTTCTGTGAGGCAAAATGTAAACATTAGTACACAAACAAGCTCCATGAACTGCTTAACTCCAGTAAAACCTTCAACATTTCTTAGAAAACACGCCTTTCATTTTCTCATTTATAAAAAACTACATAAGCAGAATGGCTTAAATTAGTAAAACTGATAATACCAAGTGTTGGTGAGAATATGCAGCAACTATAACTCTCATACATAGCTGGGAGGAATGTAAAATCATACAGATACACTGGGAAAATGTTTAGCATTCTCTTCTAAAGCTGAACATACAACTATCTTTGATCTAGCAATTCTATTCCTAGGTATCAGGCGAAATACATGAAACCACTAATAGTCGACAATTTGGGACCCAAGAAATGGCAACTTCATGTAGTCACACCTAATATATACACCCAAGAAAATAAGTGCATATGTCCAGGAAATGACCTGTACAAGGATAATCAAGGTAATTTTATTCATAATAGTCAATAAAGGACAAAAAGCCAAGTTTCTGATTTGGTATATTCATACAATGGAAAATTACGTAGCAATTAAGAACTACTATTACAAGCCACCAAAAGAAATCTCACATGTATAATGATGAGTGAAAAAAGCCAAACACAAAAGGAGTCATATTTGACAAGTGCATTTACAGTCAAGGATAGGCAATATTAATGATAACGATAAAAGTAAGAATAATGGGTTTCAAGGAAAGTGTGTAGAGGGAAGAGAACTGTAGGCATTAATCAAAAGGAGGAAAAAGAAAGCTTGCTGGGGCACTGAAAACATATCACACTTTGATCTGGATGTGTGTGTGGACATGCATGTGTGCATGCCCAAGTGTGTGTGTTCATGCTCATATGTGTGTGTGCACACCCATGCAAAAATCCATGAAGCTGTTGCTTCAGATTTGTGCACTTTCCTATAGGTATGTTATAGCTCAATACATTTCTTCCTTAATAATGAACGTTTTTAAAAAACTAACTCTGTTTTTAGAACCTACCCCTTGTTTCGTTCTGAACACTGTAACTAAAGGTCAGCTGAAAATTCAAGCACTGGGACTGGATGTGGGGAGTACAAAGCAGAAATGGTATTACAATCTGAAGACCCAGACATCTGTCTAATGCTCATCGCCTGTCATGTGTGAATGAGAAGCTGGGAGAAAAATGTGAAGAGTAAGACACACACACACAACTTTGAAAAAAAATAAGAAATGAAGAAACTACTTACTTCTACAATATCGTCATCAAACAACAACCAAAAGTCATGACTTTTAACTATTGCAATGTAATGGCCTCGATTAGGACCACTGAAACAAAGAGAAAAAGAAGTTAATTTAATAAAATGTTTGTTAATATTACCTGTCTATGCCTAAATTTCATGTCCTATAAAGCAGAAAAACCAAAAGGGATAAAATACTCCTTACTTATTCATTCTCCCCCAAATCAAGCTACACTGATTTGAACTCACATTCAATTTTAAAATCAAATAATTAGTACTCTACTTTGAGAAATATAACAAGTATCCTATTACTATAAAACTATGCTATTAAAATTCTTTATTGTCTTTGAAATAATGTTCACATTTATTTGATGAAAGATTTAAATAAGATTTTCTGGTATTTTTGGTGGGAAAGAAGGGGTCACAGCCAGGACATGCTGAGGTAAACCACGACACAGTGCTGCAGAGTCATCTGTAAGTCTCACCCCTGCGGCAGCAGCTTTTCTCTCATGGAAAGACCCCATGTGATGCTTGAAAAGGCAGAAAAGAGGATATCAAATTCATGGTTCTAAACTCAAGCTCAAACTTCAGAAACCTCTTTAAAGACAAATGACTTTTGCCCAATGACTAGTATTATTAGTGCTATCTTTAAGTTGTAATTATTATAATTGTCTCAGTAGCTCATTTTAAATAAATCTGGAATATAGAAATCTAGATATACGTAAAAATAAAGATTTCTTTTAAAACAAATTTCTTTGCTTTACGCAAGGCCATGCTAAAGATTTTAACCTCTCACAATTTAAGTATGATTCACTATAAAAGTGTATGTATGCATGGGAGGGAGGTGGGTTTGGCCAGGGTGGGAGGAGTGGGGGGGGGAAATACAGACAATTGTAATTGAATAACAATAAAATATTTTTTAAAAAAGCTAAAATGTCAAAAAAAAAGTCCAAATATTGTCAATTGTGCCACAGGGGGCAAAACTGTATCTCCTTGAGTAACATATGAATTAACAGAGATCTTTTGGGGGCCACATAAGATTGTCTACAGATTTAAATATACACACATATGTACATACACTCACTCATGTGGACATCTTTATAATATAATCTTGTTATCATGATAAAAATGTATGTACAATTTTTTATTAAAGTGTGATTCTATAATTGATCTTATAAAATTTGAAGTAATTTCCAAGACAAATTATTCTTTATGGTGAATACTGTTTTGAAAGAAGCAACCTCAAATATTAGAATAAGCGACCTGCTATGTTCCCACGTGTCAGATCTCTCGGTTTGTAGGTGAGACGGGATCTTAGCTGACAAAATGCCACAAAACAAGAAGACTTTTCACTACAGAGGAAAACATCTCAAAACATTCTTTTGTAAAAAAGATTTTAATGCTATAATAGTCTAACTTGTCCATTTCTGTAGGATTCATCTTTAAAATCATGTATTTTATAGTAAGAAATAAGAAATGAAAACAAATTTTTAATGGGGCTGCTGAAAAGGAAGAAAAATCACAGAAAGGGTGAATGACAGAGCCTGAGAGGAAGTTGGCTAAGAGTTTGAAGAAAAGTAGAAAAAGTTAATTACAGAAACTAATAATAAGATGAAGGACTGAGAGTAATAAATTTATACCCAAGGAAGCTGTTTGTTAGGGATTTGCATTCTAGACATAAAATATGCTAGCTCAACATGCATGGATGCCTGATGAGTACAAATGACTGTGCCCTTGCTGTGGGGTCAGAGAGACACTGACAGTGTCCTGCCCGAACACACTGCCAGGTCAGTGGGTAAGCTTCTCCAAGAGTGTATACAGAACAGGAGATAAAAGCGGAGCCACAGGGACTGTGAAACAAGACCTCATCCAGTGAGAGAGGAGGGAACAGGGCTGAGGAATCAAGATAGGTTAGTTACATAAAGGAGTTGGGGTTTGAGATGGACTTAAAGCATAATATTTAATAATTCAGCAAACATTTGTTAGAAACCTACTATAGAACAGGCACTGGGAGTAGAGGGAGAGCAAACTGGACCAGCACAAACATGGTGGAAATGAGATCTCCCAATAGTCAAAGGGTGCAGACAAGGTGAGCCCTGTATACTGATATGAAATGTGTCTACAGATAAATCTTATAAATAAAAATTAAAAAATTAAAATATTATTAGTGTTTTGTTTAATGGACAAATCATTTCCTGTTTTAAAAAGTGCCCATTCTCCTAAGGAAAAGAGACATATAAATGGATAAACATAATATACTACAGAGTAGCACCCAAGGGAAAATGAGGCTGTTGAGAAGAGCACCAAAGAAGACACGCAGTGGTTTAACAGGCAGAGCAGGGGTCAAGAAGAAGGCATGAGGGGTGCAGAGTGAGAGAAAAGGAGTAAGAGACTGGGGTGCGGGGGTGACAGGAACTAAGGCAGGAGAGAGCCCCAGTGCAGTCAGCCGGCCTGTGAGGAGTCAGTGAGCACCCACCCCTCAACTCCCACAGCACTCTGACAGCTAAGGTTGGAGACGCAAGCAGCAAGAGATTGTCACAATGCTTGTGACAGCTGACTGGTTGTGAGGCTGGGAGGAGAAGCACATGAGATCAAGGAAAGAGCTAAAAAGAAAGGTCAAGAGTTAAGAAGCTGTAAGGGAAACAGGATGGATTAAATTTTAAAAGAAGACAGAGAGGGGAGACGGCCCAGGGTTATGATCAAGATCTCCAAGTTCAAGATCTTGTGAGTAGAGCAATTCCAAAAGATGGAACAGAATTTAAATTGGGTAAAACTGTCACTGAATATGAAAGGGCTACAAAATGGTAAAGTTGGGGTATGAAAAGCTAACATTATTATTATATTTTTATTAAAACAGTAGCAGGAGCTAAGTAATTTACATTTTCCTTAATCCTAACAATGAAGTAAGGTAGTTATTATTTTTTACCTTTTATAGCAGAGAACACTGACATTCAGGGAGCTCTGTATGAAGTCACACTGACCAGAAATGACGAAGTGAGAACTGAAACCCAGATTTCTCTGCCTCTACAGCCTCTGGTCTGAATAACTACAGGTTCTTTGAGTTATCTCTTACCATCTTCGTGCATTCACATGTCATCACTCTTACTTTAAAAATCGAATGTTCCAAAAATGGAAAAGATGACAGCAAAGTATAAAACACATGAAGAGAGGCTAATGTAGGCCATGCAGGTTCAAAACTATCATGACAGAGGATTGACTTCTAGATGTCATATTATGAGCAGGGAGTAGGGAGGGACAGCTACAGCTGGGAGGCCAGGATTTTTTTAGGTGAATAAAACATCCTTTTAGTATGTTTTCCCAAAACTCGGGGGGAAAGGATGAGTGCCTATTTTACAACTATTACAGGAATTTCTCAACAGTCAACCAAGACTTATGTTTCAAATATAAATTCTGATTATTTGATGGTCTTGCAGTTTAAGAATTTTGGGGCTATTTTATAAATTGAGATACAAAGAGTAGAATATCACACTAAATTGGCTAACAGGAAATAAACACACTAAGGAAAAAAAACAACTTATGTTGGCAGATTATTTCCACAGCCATTTAAAATGGTTTCACAACCATTAACACATGAACATATCCAACAAATCTCAGAAATAATTTATTTTGCAAAGCTATTTAGGCACCATCATTTTTACCAAAACCAAACAAAAACAATATTTAAAAAAACAGAAAAAGAAAATAGGCCTTAAAGTTCTTAAGAATAATATTTAAACAGTAAGAACAAAATTTAAATCCAGAGGCAAAGGGCATGGGGGAGCATAAGAGGGTCGAGGGGATCACATTTATGGAGACAGACGGAGACAAGACTTTGGGTGGTGAGCATACAATGGAGCATACAGATAACTTACTCCAGAATTGTACACTTGAAACTTGTATGTTACTAATCATCGTGTCTCCCCAATAAACTTAAACAAAAATCAAATCCAGACAATAATATATTTTAGCAGATATATAAGTTTTAAGGAGGAAATGATAAAATGGATCTGGATGAGAACCTCTGAAAGGTCTGCCCGGGAATCCCTCAGGAACACCCTGAATATCACTGTTCCCCAACCCTCACTCTCGCTGCCAGGCCCCAAAGCTGCGATTACCTTCCACAGTGAACCACTACAGCGACAAGGTCGTACATTCTGTCAGGATTGGTTGCATCGCCTGAAGTGTTAAAGAGACGAAGTTCTAAAGGAAAAACTACCCGGTAAGAAAGTTTTGTGTATCGATGAAGTTGATCCATATATTTAAATCTCTTCAGGTGTAGAGCTAGAATCATGGGCAGTTTTTTAACTTTCATCCTATTAAAATAAACATAAAATAAAATTTCATAAAAGATGCCTCAAAGAATTATCAAATTTTATGATTCAATTAACAAATGGTTAATGGTCAGTCTTAATAGCCCAGTACTGCCCACTTTGCATATTTCTACCAATTATTTTTATATTAAGAAAGCAATATTTTGAACATCTTAATACAACCGCCCCCCCCCCCCCACACCCATCATCACCAAACCACATGAAGTGAGCACTCACCGGAGCTAGGCAGCGTACCTTGAGAGCCCAGCTCAGAAGAGCGGGAAGGCTGTGCCACTGGACCCTAAGACACCTACCACTACACTAGGACACACTACCAAGCCTACAGTCATGGCAGCTCTACCTAGTATGTAGAAACAAACACGGGGAGGCTGTCAAAATGAAGAGACAAAAAAACATGGCCTAAATGAAAGAACAAAACAGAACTCCAGAAAATGAACTAAACAAAATGGAGACAAGCAATCTACTAGATGCAGAGTTGAAAATACTGGTTATAAGGATGTTCAGTGAACTTGGAGGAAGGATAGATGAACTCAGTGAAAACCTAAACAGCATAAAAAAAACATGAAAATCATAAAAAAGAATCAGTCAGAAATGAAGAAAATCAATAATACTTTATAGGGAATCAACACTATAGTAGATGAAAACGAGAATCAAATCAGTGATTTGAAATATAAGGAGGCAAAAAACACCCAACCAGAACAGCAAAAAGAAAGAATCCAAAAAATGAGGGTAACTTAAGGAGTCAAGACAACTTCAAGTGTACCAATATTCTCATCATAGGGTTGCCTGAAGAAGAAACAGCAAGAAACTGAAAACCTATTTGACAAATAATGACAGAAAACATCCCTAAGTCCATGAAGGAAACAGACAACATACCAGGAAATGCAGAGTCCAAGATGAATCCAAAGAGGCCCACACCAAGACACAACATAATTAAAGTGCAAAAGGTTAAAGACAAAGAGAGAATCTTAAAAGCAGCAAGAGAAGAGTAGTTAGTTACCTACAAGGGACCTGCCATGAGACTGTTAGCTAATTTCTTAACAGAAAATTTGTGACTGGAAAGGGCAAGAAATATTCAAAGTGATGAAGAGCCAGGACCTATAACCAAGATTATTCTACCCAGCAAAGCTATCATTTAGAATGGAAGAACATATAAAGAACTTCCCAGACACGAAAGAGCTAAAGGAGTTCATTACCACCAAACCAGGATTATAGTTAAAGGGTCTCCTTAAAGGAAAAAAAAAATATAAAAAGATAAAATGATGAACAGTAAAATGGCAATAAATGCGTTATCTACCAACAACTGAATCTAAAAATAAATGAACAAACAGAAACAGCCTCATAGATAGAACATTTTGACAGTTGCCAGACCGGGGGGGGCGGGGGGCGGTGTGGGGGCTGGGTGAAAAGGTGAAGGGATTAAGAAGTAAACATAGGTAGATGCAGTATAGTCATGGGGATGTAAAGTACAGCATAGGGAATACAGTCAATAATATTCTAATTAACTATGTATGTTACCAGATGGGTAAGAGATTTATTGGGATGGTCACTTAGTAAGTTATGAAATGTGTAATCACTGGGTTGTACACCTAAAACTAAAATAATATTGTATGTCGATTGTAATTTAAAAATTAAAAAATGATTTTAAAAAAGGTAACAAAGTGAGGAGACAATGAGAAGGATTCAAGACCATTCCAGTAAAGGTGTTTGCCAGAAAGAAATCACTGCATATTAACAATATAACTGCATGTATCCTAGAAAGACAGTAAAATAATCAGGAAATTTTAGAAGTTAGGTTTTTAATTACCCTTCACATTCCAAATAATCTTTACAATGTGTTGCGTTACCTTTGAGCTCCTACTACTTCACCCCGCAACAGTTCACTCTTTCAAAGGCACAGCTCAAATGTTACACCCTCTGGCAAAAATGACTGCTCTCTTCAATCTTCCCTCAGCACTTCACAGAGTCACTTTATATATGTATAGTTTATGAGTTTATCATAGTTACAGAGTTTATCACTCTAAGTATTTACATGATTATGGGTCTTTCTCTTCTTCTAGGTCTGACTTGTTGGCAGGCCAAAACCATTCCTTTCACTTTATTTCTCCTCTATCTAGCAACGTGCCTGGCATAGGACAGACACTTGACAGATGCTGCAGAACTGAATTCTGTGTGTGTGCAGTGAGGCAGAACACTTCTCATCATTAAAAAAGGAAATTTACTAAGCCATTGTCTCTAATGAAGTGAAAATAATCATTTTATAGCATTATACTAAATCTGCATTCTACAGATTTTAAATGTGGTGGGCAGTTTATTATTCCAGAAATATTTACTATTCTGCTAACCTGGCCTTTGAAAAAATATTAGCAAAAACAAATGTAAACTCTTAATCATTCCCGGAAAATAATCTAACAATGTGAATTAAGAGCTTTTTATGGTGTTTGTCTCAGTAAGCCCCTTTCTAGAAATTAAATTAAATATATCTCAAATAGAAGACTTCTGAGAAAAACTCTCCTAGAGTTATTTTAGTATCATCGAAAATTGGGGAAATCTTCATTATTCAACAATAGGAAATGCTGAAAATATATTACAATATAAACATAACAGAATATATCTTCAAACAAAAGTGATGGTGAAACTTTCTAAATGGCATGGGAAAATGTTTATGGAAAATAAAAAAAAATCATGATATAAAATTATGTAACTGATAATCCAACTCATATACATCAGATCCATGTACAGCTGCTAAAACAAATTCTTTCAAAACAACAAAAAACAGAGTATCCTTTAAAAATTTCCAGTAGAGTGTAGATCCAGAATTGTCTCAGCATGAAATGAACAACTTAGATGAAATGGACAAACACCTTAAAAAACACAGACACACAATTTACCAAAACTGAAACCAAGAAACAATAGGAAATCTAAATATTCCCGTATCTACTTGTAATCAAAACCTCCTCGCCTCTCAAAAGAAACAACAGGACCAAACAGCACCTCAATGCACAGGGGAATTCTATCAAACACTTAAGCAAAAAACAAAACCTATCTTATATAAACTATTCAATAAAAGAGGAAAAGGGAATAATCCCCAACTCATTTTTGCAGCCAGCATAAACCCAATACCAAAATCTGACAAAGGTATTACAAGAAGATAAAATTATAGACCAGCATCGCCCATGAGACTCCATAACGTGAAAATCATTAACAAAACATTAGTAAATTGGATCCAGCAATATATAAACCCCACTTGGTGATGATGCAATAGTTACACTAAATGAATGGATGTTTTGTGCCTCAGGTTCTTTCTAGAAATCAGTAACTATAAAAATAAAATGGAAAGGTTCATTTATATTCCTAAATTAACAAAGTAATATCAAAATGGAAGGGGCATTTAAAAATCTTCTTTAAAATATTTCTTCTTATGTAGAAATATTCTTCTACAGAATATTTCTTCTTCTAAAAGGAAACACCCACACTCCACCTTAAATTTTCCAGAAACTTAATGCTGATTAATAATGTGAATTTTCAAAACAAGCGTGTCACCTTCCAACCCAAAGAATTTTCCCATGAGACTGGGAATAAGTAGACCACAGGTCTTACTTTCTTTGTAAGAATTTACCGCCCACATTATACACGAGGTTATAAACTCAAATGACCGCAGCCCCTATCATAGAAGGTGCTGAGACTGTGTGGTAAGGAGGAGCACAACCTCCCTATTTTGGGTCCTATTGGGAGATTTGTGCAGGCCGTGCTACAGGGCAGACTGAGGGAAGCAGAGAAGGGGTCCACAGCATGCAAAACCCCACAGAGGGCAGCTCCCCAAGTCTTACAGGGAAATTCTGGACTGTGAATTTCTCTCAACCACAGCAAGGATTGATGGGCTTTCATTTTCTCTTTTCCTGTTAGTCAAAAGGTGAAAAATTCCCCAAAATCTCCTTTGCAGCAGTGGAAGGGGAGTCCTCCAAAGAGCCAGAAGTGAAAGCAATCCACAGGAGGAGGGAGGGGCTGGAGACCTGACACGTTCTGCACCCAGTGCTAACTACGGGCTAGAATACCAACTACTCAGCTGCAGGTGATCAAGGGCACCATGGAATGCAGGCCCAGCGCTGTCAGCTGTTTTGATTTTTTCTCCCCAAGAATAGCCAGCAACCATTTTTTTAAAATAAAATATCCTACTTGTATAAACTGTGAGCCAAGCAAAATCCATAGACAAAATTTAGTCCAAAGGGCACTAGTTTGCAAACTCTGACACAGAGATACTTAATATCCCAGCACAGGCACATAAAAATTCACTAAATACTGTTAGTAGAGAACCCCTGACCACAAAGAAAAGCTTAGTAATTGTACAGACATAAAGTTCCACACTCTTATAAACTGTAGCACCAACAAGGACTAACTAGAGCCAATCAGCCTAAGGAATGAGAAGGAAGTACGATGCTGGGACTGCATGTGAGGAGCACACTAGCAGACTGAGACATGAGCACTGAGAGGAGGCAGACAAGATAGAACCTGCCCTCCAGCCTGTGCTATAAACGAAGGACAGGCAGGTGGACGGGTGAGACCCACGGAGTGCCCTGGCCACAGAGTACTGACCACTCTCTACAGATGCTGCCAGGCATGCAGCATCAACCTTTGACAGAAGGACCCAGAAAACCAGAAACACAGGTCAGATTCAGGAGGCTTTTTCAAGGGGTGGGAGAAGTATGGTCTGAATGTCTGTGTCCCCCCCAAATTCCCTATGTTGAAACCCAAATGCCCAATGTTTTAGTAAACAGGGCCTTTAGGAGGCGCTTAGTCATGAAGGTGTAGCCCTCATGAATGGGATCCGTGTGTAGTATGTGAGGCAAGAGGGCTTGCTGGCATCCTTCCCACCACGTGAGGACAAAGTGACAAAACACCAGCTATGAACCAGGAAGAGGGTCCTCACCAGAACATGACTGTGCTGGTGCCTTGACCTTGGACTTCCCAGCCTCCAGAATTGG